TTCTTTTAGAAATATTGCAACTGGGATGAGAAACAAGATTGCTTTGTATTTCCAGAGAAGGAAATCCTGATGAAATACAAAATTATAGTGACAACTCTGTTCACCGCAGGCAGGTAGGTGTTATTTCAACTCTTTTTCATAGTTTGGCCAGGGGTGCGACTTGTGTGTGGAAATTAACACATCATTTTCACACTAAATCAAATGAGGGCGCTATAGGCCTATATTCTCCTTTGGAGTTAGCAGAGTTGTTTACAAGCAACACCGAGAATGAAGATTTCATTGCGTTTAGTGATTAGGGCAGACAGGATGGTTTGGTAAACTTGTTAGCATGTTATTTATGCATATTAAGAGTTATCTGAATAACTTACCAGTTTGTTGTTTGTCATGTAACGTTAACATAGCGTTCAGTTATTCAGCCTGTTGTTGCCTCTATTCTATTTTTATTTTAAATTGCCTTTCAAGATGACTTGTCTGTTCTTGGTGTAGAATTTTATCAAATAAATTTCCCTAAAAAAATGCAATTTATACTCCCGTGCGACTTATATATGTATTTTTCTCCTTTATTATGCATTTTATGACTGGTGCGACTTATACTCTGGAGCAACTTATAGTCCGGAAAATACGGTACTTGCATACTAAGATCTGAATTCCCAGGATTGATTTTAATTGTGGATGTGAATATTTGGGCTTTACTTTTTCTATTTTAAGCAAGGCTGGCTGGATTAATGCCCAATCTGAACTGTTTAAGCTCAACCCATGAAACAATGTTCGTATGAAATAATGTTTTGATAATTTTTAGGTTTGTTACTGGAGGAGTTCCTGTTGGCCACTTTTCTTATGTGTTTGTGGATGAAGCTGGTCAAGCAGAGGAGCCGCAGTGCATTATTGCAGTTGCAGGTAATTACTGTAAAATAATTAAATTAAACGTTATTGGCCTTATTGCCGCTGTTTCTGCCAAATGCTTCTGCCAAAAGGAAATCCAATGGAATGCCTTTTTCTTTTTTTCCCCCTATTATGGCATATGTAGAACATTTCTAAATGGCATTAATCGTGTAAGAGCAATACAGTGCTACACCTCTGTTGAAATAAATGGATCTTGTTCCTGATTTGTTGATTTGTTTCTTAGGTTTGCTCTGTACAGAAAGGGGCCAGCTGGTGCTTGCAGGAGATCCCAAACAGCTGGGACCAATCATTCGATCCCCATACGCAATACAGCATGGGCTTGGTAAGTTCAGTGTAAATCCTTCCTCTCCTCTTTGCACACTAGACTTTTGTTTGAAGGGTGTTAGAAGACATAAATGACTCCAGGTCATTTTTCTACACATTTAACTCTGTAACATGCACAATTTGATCACCATATAAGCCAGACCATCATGGATTTCCTTTAGCATGTAAAATAGAAAAAATGAGTATTTCATCTTTATTTTAATTCAGTTTCTTTGTATTGTGGGCAATTCAAAATGATATTGTCTCAAATGGCATTACACAAATAAAAAAAAAATTTGCAAAATTAGTCCATTAATGTCCAATTCTATCTTATGTCAATGTTGTGATGCAGCAGAACACTATTAATTTCACCCCACTGTTTTAATGGTTTTATTACTTTCATAGTATTGAAACGATGTTGCTACCATCAGTGAACCAGATATTGTGTTTTTAAAAATTTGTGACTTCTCTCCAGGGCTTTCTCTGTTGGAGAGGATGATGAATCGTAAACCTTACCAAGATCTTGACTCTCATTTTGTCACAAAACTGCTGCAGAACTACAGGTACATGACTTAGTGCAAACTTGGATAACTGTATAATCATTTGTAGCTTTCCTATCCATACAGTCACCTCACATATGATTTCTTCTTGTACTACCAAAAAGAAACATGTCATGTTTTTGTATCTCCTATTCTTTAATTTATATTTCACACTGACTTGTTTTTTTTCTCAACTTTCAGTAATAGTGAGTAATGTAAAATTATGTGTGCCAAAAAAAAGCAACAAGAAATATTGTAAATAGAAAAATGGATGTTTTTAAAAGGTGTATATTTGGGATTTGGAGTTGCCTTTCTTCCTGTTTTGTTCACTTAAAGCTCTTTGTTCCTCCCCTTAGATCACACGCTGCCATCCTGAAGATTCCCAACGAGGAATTCTACAACAATGAACTTACGTCACAAGAGAAGCGTGAAACCTACTGCAACTGGGAAGCCCTTCCTCAAAAGGTGTGGACTTGGTTGAGTGTGTCTTGTATTTCTCATGCTTGTGATTTTCTACAGAAATAGAGATAGTTTTCATTCAACATACTGGTTGAATGTAAGCTGTTAATATGACCAAATAACAAAATTTTAAAACAGTGTTTTAACAGATAGGTTGTGGGTAAATCTTTGGGATGTTTAATTCTGACAAAGATCAAGTGTGTGCAAGAGTTTCAGATACATTTGGTTTTTCTCATTTCTTTTGCCATTACTCTTCATAGGGTTTTCCGGTGATCTTCCACGGAGTGCTGGGGAAAGACGAGCGAGAGGCCAACAGTCCGTCTTTCTTCAATGTGTCCGAGATTGAGACGCTGGTTATGTATCTCAACAGGCTGGAACAAACACAAGGAAAGAAGGGTCTTCCCAATCTGTCGGCCGAAGACATCGGAATCATCACCCCCTACAGGAAACAAGTGATGCTGCGTAGTGTTAACTGTAACTGTGAAATGAGAGAACATTTGAGCTAATGTCAGCAATATCCTCCACTAACAGGTTGAGAAAATCCAAAAGGCGCTGAAGTCCGTCAAAACTCTCAGTCACTGGACTGATCCCAAAGAACTCAAGGTTAGGAATTCATTGCTCTGACGTCTTCTGAAAAAATATTGAGGGCAAGTTTTGAGTTAGTTTTCCGAAGATGATTCTGTCATATTGGTTTCTACTTTCTAGTACTTATGAGATGCTAAATAAACTGTAGGAGTGACTGGAGTTTCCTTCGGCTCTATTGAGAAACTGTTGCCCCTCCCTCTCCTTTTGCTACACACTGCTGGTCAGATGACCAGAAACAATGGAAAAACAATCAAGCTACTGCTAGAAAAAAAAAAAAAGCAAACAGAATGCCTGACTTATTAAACACTAAATTTGACGGTTATCTCTGTTCTGTTTGGGTTAAGGTGGGATCTGTGGAGGAGTTTCAGGGACAAGAGAAGAACATCATCATAATCTCCACAGTACGTGGCAGCCTGAGCTACGTTAAAATGGACACAGACTTCAACATTGGATTCCTTTCAAATGAGAAGGTTTGTCTCATTATTTCTTTATTACATCATTTAAAATACAACCGTGTGCATCTTTTTACACAAAACAATCATAATTCCAACTCTGTATTTTTTTAGAGGTTTAACGTGGCGTTGACGAGAGCCAAGTCTCTACTCATAGTCATAGGGAATCCAGTGATCCTTAGGAAGGATCCTCTATGGAAGAAGTAAGTCACAGAGAGATTTTCAGGTACAAAAACCTTTAGAGTTCAGTGTTAATGTGAGACTGGGCCTCCTTCATTCTCTCACAAAGAGCCCAGTGGATATTGTGAACACAGCATTTGTATGGAAGTGTCGATAAACAACTTTTCAACCTTAAGTACTGTTAATTTGGTTTTATTTATGTCTATGTATTGAAGGTGGAAAGGATACAAAAAGAACCTAAGTGGGTATAAATTGCCTTCAATAACTCATTTTGGCTTCAGTTCAATTCTTAGGACTGTGAATTTCATTGAATACTGCATGTTTCAAGAGAAACGTTATATTTAGGCATCTCTAATGGCTAATATTGCAACTGTGTAGTTTATTTAATCTCAAACTTTGACCTTCTGAAAAATTGTAAAAAAAAAGTTTCTATAGTTTCAGGCTGGATCAAGAGGTGCAAAAATATATAATTCCGGAGGAAAGGGATTAACATGTTATATCAACCAGGTGACTTGAATATAAATATAGCTAATCACTGATCAGGTTTCTGATGAGATTATGGCTTTACTTTTTTCTCATAGGTTCATAAATTACTGTGTGGAGATGAAAGGCTACGTAGGGATTGACTTCAAGAACGTTGAAGAGGAAGATCTCTTTGAGGCAAAAATGAAAGCCCTGAAAATCACCGACTCTGAAGGTTTGTACAGTTTTGTTTTTTACTTCTAGACTGGTCTTTAAGTATTTCATCCTGAATCTAGTCTTCAGAAATTCTTTATTTCTGAAGTATTCTTCTTATTTTGTTATTTATTTTGCATCTTGCCAGAGCTATTGTTGCTGATGACACAAATTTTAACCACTAATGCAAGTTTTAGTTTTTAGTTCAAATTAAATGAGAAAATGTAAAAAAAATTAAAACTTTTTGTGGATATATGTTCAGATGTCGTGATTGATGTATAATTAATAATTTGTTCCACATATTTTTACATTAAATCAGTTAATGTAGATATTCTATTTCCTTTTAGTAAAAAGCTAAATTAGTGCTCTTGCATTTGTAGGTCCTGTTGGAGACATGAGTGCCCTCCAGCTGCATGTAGATCCTGGATGGAAGAGTGAAATTTAGAATTTTGATTATGCACAAGCATCTTAAAAGATGTCTCACAGAGATGCACAAATAATCTTTTTCTCTTTCCTCCTCTTTTTACATCTATTGCATAAATGTTTTTAAGTGTATATCTTAAGAAATTCTTATGAAAATTTGCAAAGAAGAGTTTTTACACCTCTGACTTTTTCTTTTCTTTTTTTAAAGTGCTCCTTAAATCAATGAAAAAAAATATATATGGCTACACTGAAGATGAACATTTTAATTCACTGGAATGTATATTCACTTTTTCTTACTAATGCTCATTTGCTGAGCATTATTCTTACTTTGTATTTTCTGATATAAGGGCTAACCTAATAAAGTTTACATTTTTTTGAATGGTGCCTGTTTTTTGTTTTTTTTTACCCTCATAGTTTCACACTCCTGAAGAAAAGATCACCTCAGTTATCCATTCAATAGAAACAAAGAAACTCGCTCATCTTGTTTCAAAAATAGTTTAATGATTCAAGTTTGATATTCACAACAGAAATTTGTTTTGAATGTGCATATATTACACTATATGTAGTAGATCATCCTTTATTTCAAAGTCTCGCACTGAAAATAAGACATTCAGCAGAAGCTGCTTTCATGGACTTTATGCCTTCATGCCTGTCTTGCCAAGGATTTTCCCAGGTGTTTGTATTTCTCTCTATAATTAGGATTTTCCTGGAGGTTTACTGCACACATCAGCAGCATGCCATTGGGAATTTACCACTGCTGGCTTGAAAGAATTGTTTTATTATTCTGATTTCTTGAACTCTGCTTCTTAATTCCTCAGTATAAAGCTTAAATAACCTTCCAAAGTCAAAACATATGAAATGCCACTAAACCTCTGCACTTTTTTTAATGGGTTCCAATCCATATTGTTTGGCAGGCATGCGGTACTGCCAGAAGGTTGGTGTGCATTTTGCAGCTGAGGGTCTAAAGTATCTCATGCTACATTCTTGAAAGGACGCATGAGATAGATAACCTTTTGGCAGAGACATCCAAATAATTAATGATTCATTCAAACGAGACAAGACTGCTTTAAATTTGGATATTAAATGTGTCGTTAAAGATACAGCATTTTTCCATCAGTTTTGTCTGTACAGCGTTCTCAACAGAATAGAAACAGTACTGTACTCGCCTAAAATTGTCGGTAAATCAAAGAAAGAAGCCTTTGTCAAACATGTCAAGTAGTTTACTCTTCAGACAGTATCAGGTCGCCGCCATGCAGCCACTATGTCTGGTCTGGGAAAGAACTGTGAATGCACTGGAATAAAACAATTCAATCGCATCTCAGCTCTTAGACCTGTAAGGAATGTTGTCCTACTGGGAACATAAGACCTGCAAATGGATCATGGTTTCCTTGACTGCGTCAGCTGGTTTACTGGTGACATTCCAGCAGCAGGTGTAACTGGCTCTGCTGAGAAGAAGCAGAACGCAAATACAATAACCAATCAGGCCATTGGCTCAGTGCAATCGCTTTAAACTAAATCATCTTCCTGTCACTCCTGGCAGCTATTGTGCATGAATGAGTCACAATGACTTGCGTCTCAGCTGGTCACGTCTCCCTCTTACCTTAATCCACAGTGCAGACTGTGTGCATAAACAGAAAGCTCACTTTTGTTTCTTTCATATTAGAAGCCACTTGTCTTTGTTTACTGTGCATTGACTAAAAACTGAGAATGCAAAGGAGCACAGGGAGCCATTTTTCTTTGATGATTGGTCAGCAGACAGAATTTTAAAGTTATGGTATTGTAACAGCACAGTGAAGAGGTCCTATACACTAAAAGCCCAACGCATTTAAATGGCAATTCACAAACTTAAAATGGTCACCAGCTTTACCAGTCAAATGATATTTCCAATGTAAACAGAGCTGGACTGGCGACAAGAGACTTAAAGAAAATAAAGGATGCCCACAATTGTAAAGAACACCCCAGTAGAAAAGAAAACAGTAAAAAGTGTAGTGTACATCATCGTAGCAGTAGCATACAGTAATGTCCATTCCATGTATTTGCAGGTGTGTTTTTAATTCATCTACCTGCCTGTTTATTTTTATGTTTTTTAATTAAATGTGAGTTACAGTACAAAGATCAATTTCATAAAAGGTCAGTCCTTTTCCCGTGTCCTGCTTTACTTTGACTGGTCAGCTAATTTCCTGGTTTCCTGGACCTGCGATGTGGCTCACAGCAGCATGCAGCCTTTCATTGCTTTGTTCTTTTTGACCTGCAAGGCTGCTGCTGTGGCTATGCTAAACACTTCCTGCACGCCTTCCTTTGTTTTAGCAGAGCACTCCAAGAAGTAGAAAGCATTGATCCTGGTGGCCATGCTCTTTCCATCTTCTGTCTTCACCGGCTCCTGCAGGTCAAGATCAGAGCTGTTTAGAAACTATATATACCATAAAAAAAAAATGGCCTCGAGCTTTTAAATTAAATCATTTGAACTTTAGTAATTTGGGTCCATAAAAATCCAAGCTATTGCTTTTGGAAATTTTCTTTTATTCTTTTTCCTTCCCGAAACAAAAACAGGAAACAATTTATTTTTCAACCTCTGATTGTAAACCTAATTTTTAAGCCCAATATTAACAATTTTGAGATAAAAATGATAATAAAAAATTATTTAAACATGTGGTGTGAATTAATTATTTTTACAACATTTACAGTTTTGAACATTTGAGCCAACCATCAAATGTTCTAATTTTGTGAGAGAAAACAATAGCTGAAAGGAAAAACTGGGGCAATTGCCTCTGAAAGAGGAGGTGAACTTCATCAACAATTTGTACTACCTTCTCTTATTCTCTCATTTAGGTTTTCTCTATATTGAATAATTAACCTGGTTTTAGTTGTAATACATTAATTTCTCATTGAAACACATTCTAAAACTAAAGAATTATTTCAATACTCCTGAAAAACAGAAGTATCAGTTTTTAATTAAGAAATAGAAATTAGATGAAAGGACCTTTGTACAAGATGAAAGTATGTAAAAGTTGACATCATCTTATTCATCTTAAGGTCAATATTACTGACCTTATTCAGGTTGGTGACATAAATACTGTCACTTTTCTTTTATACAAGTGATTGTACACTAACAAATGAAAGTGCAGAAAATCTAATTGTGTATGGCAATCAATTTTATTATGAAACCCAGAACAGTGATATGTTCACTACTATCTGATGGTTTAAAAGGTGTTTTAGGAAATCACACAAAGTCTAAAAGTGTTTTAACTTTAATGTCATGGAAAGTTTTCGTCTTTCAGTTCCACAGCTTTTTATTCAGTAGATATTAACAACTTAAATACCTGCATCTAACTGACAGGGCACATCATACCTGCTTCATCTTGGCCAGGTCTCTGATTGTGTTCTCATCGTTCCGCACATCTTTCTTATTCCCAACAAGGATGATTGGAACGTTGGGACAAAAGTGTTTCACCTCAGGGGTCCACTTTTCAGAAATATTTTCTGTTCCAAGGGGGAAAAAAAAGACTGACATACTTGAGAAAGCAAATGGAAAGCTATCAAGACAACAAGCAGATCAGAGACTTCAGGATTGACTTCTCTGCAGGCTGCTGGGGCAAAAATGTTTTTAGCAACAGCAGTTCTGTGTCCTCTAAGGTGTTTAATAAGCAGTTGTTAAATGGGTATGAATGAGATGAAGCTTGTAAGATAGTTTGGTATGTTTGTAGGAAAATGTCTGTCATTTGTAGTGCAAGCCAACTTGCAAAAACAACAAGTTTTTACAATATGCAAAAAACATTTTGCATGTCAAAATATACAGTTGGTTAAGTTTAATTAACCTAACAGAAAAGATAAAAAATATAAAGTTACATTATTCTCTCTTTTTTTTAGAACATCTAATAACATTGACAAAATGCTATTAAAACAATAAAAAATATATACTAAGATCGCAGATCTTCACTTTTTGTGTAAAATCCCTTTTAATAGAAGATGAATTATTGGTTTTGACTAAAATAAAATATTTGCAGCTCAAAACACCTTGTCTGCCCTTGTTGGATTCTTTGACAAGAGAATCCGACATTCTTAGACACAAGATATAGCTTGCAAAACCCTGGGTATTTTTTTTTATGAAGATGAAACTAATGTCTTTCTTTTAATGTGGAAGCTGAAATGTTGACAATGAAGTCACTGAAGTTTGTCTTTCTATCAATCTCTGATACATCTTTCTTCCATCAAAGTCTGCACAGAGATTTGTGTCTCTTGAAATCCAGAACCCGAAAAGGTTTTTGGATGCAGCAGAAAACTGTTGAGTGACAGTTGCTCTGCAAAGAGGCAATGAGCCAATGAAGATGTATGTCTAGATGAACATGGATGCCCAAAAAAGGTTTACTGGATGCAGCCTTCAGCTTTTCAAATAGTCAACAGGAATAACACAGCGGTAGCCAAAGAGCTAAACTCTGCTAGGAAAATGTTTATATATGGATGGGATACATTGTATGCAGGTCAAAAACTTTAAGATTTCCTCACCTAAACTATCTGGGCTGTCAATGGAATAGCACATAAGGATGACATCTGTGTCTGGGTAAGAGAGAGGCCTCAACCTGTCGTAGTCCTCTTGACCTGCAGTGTCCCACAATGCCAGCTCCACCTGGAGAACAACGGCAAACAGTTAAGCCATTTTTTATTCTTATGAAGTTAACATTAATATTACAGCTATCTAATAAGCAAACTTGTTGCAATGTCATCCACAGTTGACATTGCAACAAGATAGCTTATTAGCTATCTAATAAGCTGTACAGGCAGCTTATTAGATAAACAACAAGTCTGCATAAACATTCACTGTACTAGTAAATTATGGCTCATGGAACAACAGCCTCGACTGCTTTCCTTTCTGGTTTCTTAATCTAATATAGATTACTTGTTTTGGGACCATAATTTAGTTTTTAGTGTCCTGAAAATGTCTTTGTAGAAGAGACTGTCTTCATCCTTTTAAATTGATGATTAGCTACATTAGAGAGATTGGGGAATATTTAGGCATCTAGTCAATTAGATTACGTCTCTGTATGGGAACAAACTGCTGTAATTTAGTCTGGGAAAGCTAACATTGTAAGTTTTAATGATGCAGTTTTTGGGTAGATTCTGTTGTTCCCACAGAGAGCATAACAATCAGTCATAAGTCCTAAAATAGAGGTTTGCAGAAGCATGGGGGAGGTGGGCCAACACTGTTGAGACAGCATGAGCAAACAGATCATTATGTTCCCACTGGACAAGGTGTGAGCTGCAGACCGAGTAAAAGAAAAAGAGGGCAAAACAACTATTTATAGGATCAACCCGATACTGAATGTGTGAGAGTGAGAATGTTTTTCACTTCAGGGGAAAACGTTCCAATTTAGAGGCTGAACAAAAATGTAATCCAACTGGATTTGTAAGAGATTAACAGCTATGTGTGAAGCACAAGCTCTTAGTATCTGTGTCACTAAATTATCTGCCATTAAAAAGACGCCCATTACATATTAAGTTGTTCCCAGAATAAAACTAGTAGCCCCTCCCTCTATCCATAAGCAACCAGGATGAGGACAGGAAATAAAAGACTTATCGGACAAGAGCAGCAGGAGGGTCCAGAGGGAGGGAGGGGGATTGCCAGGAGACATCCTTGTTCCCTGTCTGAACAGGAAGTCAGGAAGTATAGTCATTTCCTGTTTTGCGGAGCGGTGATTCTGCACCAATGGTCGGATTAAGAGAACAAAACCCCTCGACGTAACAGGTCATCTTTTCCTCAAGCAAGACAAAATAAAAGGTTTCACAACTCTCCATCTGAAAAGGGACTAAGGCCGGAAAAACAAGCAAATTATGAAACACATTTTGATTTGTACAGGTGCAAATATTAGCACATCCAGGTAATTAGCTCACCTCCCATGCAAATAAACAATGAAGTCATAGAGCAAAGTAGAGTACAGTTTGTTAAAATCTCCAAGACCACAAGTAATTAAAAGTAATTACTAATGGAAAACATGGTAAATGGTACACTTAACAACAGAAATAAGCATGTCTGCTGCCAGAAACACCCAAAAGTCACTTGGCTCTCTATAGTAGATTTCTCCATGTCTGAGGGATGTGGCGGGTTATTTTTATCAGGAACTCATTAGTTGGGGGCAGAGCTGCTTTAAGTACAAGATAAGCTCAGAAGATATTTATTTTTATGCTTTCGTCCACAGTTAGCTTTGGGCCTTAAACCAACAGATAACAGTCCAGGTACAGCATAAAGACTCACTTACTGTGAGTGAACAATAGAGCATGTTTATTTTACAATAAATAACAGCAATGGTATTCTTCTTGTTGTAATTGGTACATAATGCCCCAAAAAGAACTGCAATCATTTTTTGTAATTTTTGTAACTTAACTGCAGTTGCTTCACAAAACATTTGTGTCATAACGATTAAAATTTTTTTAAACTCCTTTAGTTAAAAAAGGAGGTGTAACTATGCCTTGGCTTTCAATGGCAGGTGGTCACTACTTAATGGGAATAGTTGCGTTCTCACAGTCCCACATTTCTGTGAAAAGTGACATTGAAAAACCTCTAGACAAGGGAAAAGTATTTCAGTTGATATGATGTCTCTAATGCTAAAATAAACAGAGAACTTTCCCGTAATGGAAAGATAGTTGGTCTACTTTTGTGAAATTAAGATTAACATAAATTGTCTTCTGTGGTAATGAAATGTAGAATTGGAGAAGTTATATCCAAAATGTCCATCATACCAACCTTTTTTCCATCGATTTCGATGTCTGCTATGTAGTTCTCAAACACTGTTGGAACATATACGTCAGGAAACTGGTCCTTACAGAAAACTATAAGAAGACATGTTTTCCCACAAGCTCCATCTCCCACAATCACCAGCTTCCTCCGAACGCCTGACATTTCTGTTGGAAGAAGAGAAACGAGTGCTTAGAAAAACCTCAACGTTTTTTTTTTTTTTTTTTTCATTTTTTGAACCACAGAACCCCATTGTCATCCATTTATGGCTTTTGTAGAAACGGAGTCTCTGTAAAGATGTATGCAGTACAAGCAAAGAAGAAAAAAGCCCATGCTTTGTTCGCACAATTGGAATGGCTGAATTGCTGTATGCTACTACACAAAGCGCTGGGCTATTTGTGGTGCATGTGGTCACAGGCAATTTTTATCACCACAAAAAAAATCTCATGCATATAAACAATGAAGGAGACAAAAGATGTTTGTTTTTTATCTTGTTTGTTCATCTCTTAAATACTGAAGACTGAGACATGAGTAAAGGAAATTAATGCAAATGTTGGTATCTCTAAAGCTGACGAAACACAACTTCACATTTGATTAGTCCAGCTCTCTACATAGAAACATTTTCTATTAAAAAGAAATAGTAATTCTTTTTAGAGTAAATTACTATAAAAAGAACTGAGTATCAACCTGCAAAGACCTCATAGTGTTGTGAAAATTGATGACAACTACATAGGATATTAAAATTACTGGCATGTTTGCCAGTAATTTTATTAGTGTCACACATGGGTTAAAGTTAATGTACCATTATCAAAATTAAAATTTAACATCTTTTATTATAGTGAGTAAATATAATCAAAGTGAACTAATAAACGTTCTACAGTTTCACCAGAAAGCAGATATGGTTTTGTAATGAGCTAGAGTCCTGCTGCCAGCTCATATATGAATAAGGTCTTAATTTCACAGGTATAGTCAAGAAAGAATTACCACCACTGATAAAACAGTGGTGGTATTTCCTGACATGTTAGGGCATAACTTAGGCTCGATTAAAAGAAACCTGTATGACTAAATATGTTGCTAAATAACATGACATGCATTAAATGCGTCCTAGCTCCGTTTCCATATTTAGTTTTGCCTTCGCTGGCAGTGTTTGAGTCATTAAAGTGAATGGGCGTTTCCCTTGTCATCAAGCTTTTACCCTAAAGGTCTAATCCTTCATTTTCTAAATGGTTCCATTGCAGAGACTTTTACAAACATTCTCTAAATGTTGTTTTCCTCAGTTCTAACAGATTTTACTCCTGTTGCTGGTGCTACAAAATAAGTCCCAGATTTAGAAATCTTTTACAGTTGTAATGCCCACCCACCATCTTAAACTAAACTAAGAAAACTCCATGCCTTTAAAGAGCATTATTGCTGATATTCATAGGAAAAGAAGAAATTATTTATGAAAATGTTCCATAAATGGCCTTAGTTTGTGTGACGTATGCTGCCTGTGAGTAATGCAGCAACTGATGGATACAAATGACAGTAAAATCCTGAGAGGAAGTTTAAGTAGCTACTAATAATAGCACATGTTATGTCATCATAGAAAATATATGCTGCTAAGAAAAAACACGCACAGATGAGTAGAGGTTCATTTCATATTTGTGATACCATCTATTTCCACAGTTGATGCTGGTAATTCAGTGTAATCCCACACTAAAGATCAGAGAACAGATTTGTGTTGCAATAATATACTTTAGAAAATCCAGGAAGCTATCATAAAGAAAAAGCTAAGTAAAAGAAAAAAAAGAATCAAACCGAGAGCATATATATTCATTTTTATTGGTTCAGATATTCTGTAGAAATGTAGTTAAACTCTTTGTAGCTAAAGAACAAATTCAATAAATTAAGAAACAAGCAAAATGTTGATTGCTGCCTTTTATAACGAGACAAATAATATGATTCCACCTGGTCTGAGAAAGAGACACAAGTTCACAAACTCAGACAACTCAAAAGCTGCAAATGTCTTGTCTGGCTGAATCTGATGAGCAGAAACAAGCAGAGATCTACACTGATGCAGAGGCATCTTAATCAACAAAAGGAAAACACATGACTGATCCTATCTACCTTTCACATTCTATTTATGGATGTCACAAAAAAGCAGCTCTGCAGTTTTTACTGAGTCATACTTTTTAAAGTACACAAGTAGATGTAGCAACAGGGTAAAAACAAACAAAAAATTGTAAAGAAGTTTGACATAATCGAACAGATGTTAAAATGAGAAGAAAATAGATCAGGGAGCTTTATAAGGAATTTATATTGCAAAATGGCAAAAGCTGGAATTTCTCCCAAAGATTTTTTACATTAGCTTATGAGAAACGGATTCTGAGTTATGATATGGGAAAAGGAGACAGCAGTATTCATCAGATAATCTATAGCTCAAAATGTAGAGCATTTAAACTAAATCTTGATCTGAATTATCAATGAATTCAGACTGTTAGGCAATTCATGAGTTAGGAAACATTTATTCATTTTGCATAAAATAATTACTGTTGTCATTTTGACTTTCTTAAGACTTTGATGAGAAAATCTCCTCAGCCTGTAGCTAAATTTGACAATGCATGTGAGTTTTCTGTTTCTTCACCACACAACATCCACGAATGAGAATAGTACAATTTGAATTATATTTCCAGCAGAGGATGAAGACCATTTTTTTCTATCTTTAAGTGCTTCCCATTTTCAGCTTAATAGTTATCATTTTTTTCTGAGCTCATTTTAACATTTTTTATCACACAGCAACTAAAATACCATAAAAATATTTCTAAAAATACATGTTTCTTCCAAAAAGGGTGTTTTCTAAAACAAAAAACTAAGCATTTAAAATCATACACCTGAAAGCGTAAACTGCCAAAACATCTGCACAACATTTCAAATGAGTGACTCACAACTTGTTCATGATAATGGCTGCTTCCAGTAGCTGGAATTTTAAAAATGCTTCATAGAAAGGGAGCCATGCTTTAAAGCCAATTGAGGGGGCATAATGGGTTGTTCTACTGGTGATACCTGGAGCTGGAGCACCAGGCAAAACAGAAAAAACACACAGCATGGCTCCTAGAGAATAGAGCTAATAAAGAGTGCAGCTCCAGAGCAAACAAACAGGAATGACTGGCTGATCATGTGGAATCTTAAGAACAGTTTCTGGACCAGGAAGCCGAAGGTTCATCTGACAAAATACAGCTTCCTGGATCGAACTTTGTGTGAGTTTCATTAATTAAAGTACTTTGCCAAATCTTATTAAGATTTTAAGTAAAAAACAAAAAACAAAACCCACACAAAAAAAGACTAGAAATATTTGTTTGAAGGAAAATATCCACCAACTTTGCCTCATAGCTAAAACTGATGTGTCCCAGCCTCTTGTTTAGTGAAACAGGCAAAAGATAAATAGTGCAAGAATAGTAAATCCATTACTAAAGTTTGGGTTTTAAACTTCTAAAACTACTACAGAATACATTTTTGGTCAGAAGACAATTATTCAAATCTAAGATTTGTCATCAAAATTTCCTGGAACTGACTGTAAAAAAAAATCTAGTTCTTTGTTCATCAATCAGCAAACTAACAAAATCAAAATATGGCTTTTATATTATTTTATGACCAGATCACTCAGTCAGCTTGCACATGGATCCTGAAGATGGTTGGTTTTACCACCCAATAGCAAAAATCAGTAGAAAAATACTGAAAATGAAAGTGCTATGGGTGAAACAGTGTCCCCAGTGAAACAAAGGGCTAAAAGTCTTACACTGAGTGACTCACTGACAGAATCACCTGCCAGATTAGCATTTCAACTCTTAAACGCTTTAAAAAGTTGTGCTTAAATGTATCACCACATTGTTTACAAATCTGACCATCACCATGCATTAAATGATTACATGTACATTATAAGGACATGCCACCAGCTTGTTCTGTCAGTAAAACCTATAATTTCACTATCGCATATAAAAATAGAACAAAAAAACATGTAAATGAATTAAGCAACACATCTCAAATAGTTACCTGTAAACAGCAAGACGACACGTCTTAAAAAGTGATTAGTCCACTTTTCCTCTGTTTTCAGATCGTGATGCAGCAAAAGGCAGTCGAAGTTTTCTTCCTGTTGCTCCTCTGACTAACTTTGTAATCTGACTGCTGGGAACCAGAGGAAAAAAGATCCACCCAAGAAGCCAGCGAAGCGCAAAGTTAAACCAACAGACGGAAACCTGGTGTTAGAAACTTCAAAATAAAAGCGCCAGTCTTTGCTGTGTATGTTTGAATTCAATCTCTTACCAAAAGATTTTATGTTACTTCCTTCAAAGCTTCAGCTTTCTATTACTTCTCTGACAGCTGTCAGAGCGACTCTATAGAATGAATGAATAAAATGAGAATGAATTGATTGTGAACTTTTTTCAAACTAGGTAATTTGTGGAAAATTAAAATGAGCAACAGAAATACCTGGTTTCTCTAATTTAACATGTGTATTGTATGCTGCACATTTCAAACGTTATTTCTATAAAGTTATCACATCATTTTGTCCACTAAATCTATATTATCTAAATATGAAGAAATAAAATTTGAGCGACTTGAGCATTCAAAGCTCCACTTTAATCTCCTTAGATAGATACTAGTTACATTTTTACCTAGCAGACTGATGCTTCTTTGTGTCATTTGACAGTTATGAATCTAAGCACACAAGGTGCGCCAAGTCTCCATTCACAGCTCTCTTGTTTTTATATTTATGTCCTTGCTCTCACAAAAACCTCTGTGAACCTGAGAACACACAGAACCTGTTGACTTCTTGAAACCCAGACCAAAAAACTTACAAACAGAAAAATGCTTTGCGACAACTCTCCCATAAATATCAAATATTACTTCATATTTAATTTGTATCAGATCTGAGCCATTTACTTGTTTTTTTTTATGAATCTGAATATTTCTTTCCTTTTACATGATGCTTAAATTAGCCTGTTATTATTACAATATATTTCCAAGTGTAATTTTGCCTACCTAGGTTCCCTTGTTTTTATTCAGTTAATTTGTCCTACCTTCCTAATAGGTAACATGTCCGTTGCAAATTTTGAGCATCAGAATGTGTTGTATATGGAGTTTGATTAGCTTTCTGTTTCCAGTCTACAGACACAAACTGCACGTCACTGGATACAAGAGCACAAAAATACATAATGGGGTTTGCAAAGTGACATCTAAGGTGTGTATGCAGGTGAAGGATGACACACGTCTACAGACAATGAGTAGGAAGTCAAAACAGAACAAAACACAAGGATGTGAAAAAAGGGAGTGTACCAGAAAAAATATTTATGTTCAAATACTTTTTGCTTATATGGCTGATCATGGACCAAAATGAAAACTATAGATTAAAAAAAAACATGGTCAAAAGAAATCAGTGTTCCTCACAAAATTGATTCTTCTTCTTCCTATAATTATTGTTTGGACCGATAAATAGGGATAAACAGCTTAACAAATAAATGAGACAGGACAATAATCTGTAGTACCACAGGAGAGCAATAAGCACATTTAAGCCAAATGGGAAAAACAGGTTTATTTTTAAACTAGATACATTATCCTTCTACCACACATTTTGGTAGCTCAGATTCTTGGACACACCAGCAATAATGGATAGAAAACAAAAATAAAATTCTGTTTACAGGCAAAAACAAGTTTTAAAAAATATATATGTGGACAATCTAAATAACATGACATAACAATAATGGTACAAAAGAGGTATGAGGTACACTTAAGGGCGTACAATGTTCTCTTTTCTTGCCTCTTTTACATGATTTTAAATTCAGTGCAATGGAAACTCTTGAGTCCCTTTCATGTTTCAATAAGGCATATATGTGAAACTTAACACGTCTTATTATAGCGAGACATGGAGAACATGTTACAGGTCCCTCTGACAGGTTAATGAAAAAAAACCTTATAGTTGCATTAGAAACATGAATGTCTTCCTTCTTCATCGAACATATTTATAACCTACAATCCTCTCTGTTGTAATAAAAACAATGGTATAGATCATTTATGAGCACATTCCATCAAAAAGTAACAAAAATTAACAAACTACTACAGAACATGTGCAACAGTCTTTCAAGTGCCTCAGGTGTCATTATTTTCATTCATTATAACCAAAGTAAATACTGCAAAAAGACTCTGTCAGGGTCCAGTGCCATAAAGGTCCATTCATTTGTCTTCACTTCCTTCATGCTCCTTCTGTCAATGTCAACATATGTATATCTAAAGATGTAAGTTATGCTTTTTGTTTTTTATGGATATATTTTTACAGATTTTCATCCTCTTAATGTAGAAGCATTTCTTTGGTTGCCTTATTGATTGTGAAACTATTGGAGGCTTTTTTTTTTCATTAGATATAGGGAGTGACAACTTGGGTGTGATGATCTGACCATCATCTTTCAAACATCTTTCAAAAGATTCAGTTCCAGCGTGGCTTTGGACATCAACAAAACCCCAAAAAATATTACAAGGATTCTTGTGCACGTCACAAACAGGAAGTTTGGGAGAAATTTAATTCTTTTTTTTTTTTTTTTTTTTGCACGACTAAAAATCAACCAATAGTGATGGATGAAGCTGAATTAAAGAAAGGTGGGTCTTTTTGAGTCAGTGAAGGTGCTTTTTAAACCCGAGGCTTTTTGATGACAGTGATGATTTTATCTCCCGCCTCCTTCCTCCTTCCTCCTTCCAGGGTTTGTTCAGGGAGCTTGAAGTGACCAATGGGAAGAGCCTTAAAGATTCGACCCGGCTGCAGCAGCAAATCTTATCAAGTCTCTGATTCATGTCCTGCGAGTGGGATGATGAACACAGTGATGTCGTCACCTGAGCCCAGTTTCTCATTGGGTAGCCGCCAGCCGCGCTCTTTTAGTACACCTCTGGACCTCATCAACAGTTCCTGAGCTGCCAGTGTGTATCTGTGCAACATACAGAGAGCATGCATTCATTTCAGCAAGTCATCCATTTAAAAGGAAAAGAATAATTACAGCACAAAAAAAGAAAATTTCTGCTTATCTTACCTAAATCATGGCTTAAACACCCTATTCTAGTTCTTTTTATACTAGAAGCATTTTAGATATCCTACATAACAGCATAGTTAGGGTAAATATTTTGTTTTTAAGAATAAAAAGCTTTAAAAAAGTTGCATGTATGTACAAAAATATTCAAAATATTAAAATAACCCTTAAATATCAGTTCTAATGACAGCTTAGAGAATGGTTTATGAAACACATAGTTGGAAAAATGACGCAGGATTTGTCATCCCCTAGTGGACAAACTTGATACAACACATGCGAATTACAATTTTGTTTTATAAATATTATTCAGGAGGCAAAAGCGGGAACAGAAAATACAGTTTATGAAACTGTTTACCTCATTGGATCAGATGGGTCACAGCGTGATAAACAGGTGGAAACAACTTCTGCCACTTCCTTGTCTGTCGTTACATCCCACAGTCCATCTGTGCCCATAACCAAGACGTCATCTGGTCCGTGTTTGTTTTCATCCAGGTTGTAAACTTTCACCTGTGAACAATAGCAATAACATTTTGCTGTTTTTATTTACCAGGAAGGAGAGTCAAAAATATTTATGCTAAAATATCAAAAGTGATGGAATAATAGACAAATGTCAGATTTTCAAACTTCAAAAACTAGAACGTTTTTTTTATGTGACATTGTCCTGTACAGTTCGAATGAGTTGTTGAATTTTACAGAATGTGGGGAGAAAATCTGAAAAAATAAATAAGATGGAATAACCTACTGCATAGGTGTGAACAACCTGAAACACCAGTTTATTTAAACTCATTTAGATGACTTATGTTCGCAAACAAATTCCACATTATGTACTTTATGAATCATTATACAGTGGAGAAATCTGTCAATTATTGGAAAAAACATAAGGCCTCAAGAATATTTTTTTAATTTTATTTTAGTTTATTTTTCATAAACTAAAGAAAACACGTGAAGGCAAGTGTCCAACGAGGCCAACAATGATCAGTTTTTTCCCCTCCCAAAAGATAACGTAGAGGCTTGACGGAAACTCTGGGAGGAAAAAAAATATGTATGACACAGGGTATGCCCAAAAATCAAACATCAAACAGACTGTGCTCTATGCTACATTTTGTAGGTGCTGAATCCTTAAATGTGTTTTGGGTCCCACCTCTGATCACAGGATAATTTTCAGAGAAGTGCAGCCTTTGGAAACTGAAATGAAACCTTTCTTGTAACCCTGTGTATTTTTTTCAACTTTGGTAGGTCAATAAATATTTGGTTTTTTTCAGAACATGCTGAAAATCCCTAACATCAAATCAGAGACATATTTTCTGAGTGACTTTTAATAAGCATGTGATGGTCAGATCATCTTTAAGTTGAAAATACTCAGGTCATTTAGTGATCCTGTGAGCTGAGTGAGGCTTGAAACAGGAAATGAGAGTAAAGTGTGACCAGCAGATTGTCAATTTAGGTACATTTGCCCTAGAATGACATATGATGTCTAAAAAGGGTGAAAAACAGATTAGTACATAAAAAGACAATACACTTCTCTGTCAAGTGAGAGTCATACAAAAATGTAGACATGAGCTTAATTTAGCAAAATTGGTTCAACTGAATTTATTTTAAATTTTTGGTCATCATGAAAAAGGTTTTCAGTTATGGGGAAATGACTGTGGTTTATAAAGCCTGAGATTAGTGGCTCTGAGTTGAGATGAGGAAATGGTTACAAAGGTAAACACACTTTCCTGTAAACAATTTTTACTGTCTCATGTGACATTTCATTAGTTTATTCCTCTGGCAAAGGCCATATGCATTAAAATGTGTTGTTTTGATTATTTCTACATGATAAATGCTGCACTCCTCATTGAGCTTATACCAGGATTGAATATAGCTGCAGCCACATTCAGGTCAATAATGTGTGGTAAACAAGCAGAATGTGCAGATCACTGTTTTTCAATCACATCATACAAGACAATCCAGCAACAACACGACTATGATCTGTGTGTGCTTTCAGACGAGGCAGCTGGGATTGTGGAATTAAAGATGTATTAGTCATCCCTCGGTAGCATTTACCTGAGCAATATGCACAAAATGTGTTGGGCATTTCCACAAAACCCAACAGTAACTGTCTGCGCTCTG